GTTTATGTAATGAAACAACAAGCTGTGTTTTTGCAGGGCTGATGTAATCTAGAGTGTGTGTCCTTGTTTGTGCTTGTGTATGACGTTGTGCATTATACATACTGTTCTAAGCATTATATAACACTAAGTGGTTGCATGGTTAAGTTAATCATCTTATGAGACCTTTGGGTCTGTTTCAGTAATCGTTAGAAAAGGGAAATGTTTTCGAGTTACACTGAGCTTCTTTCAAATTTTTAGATTAGTGGATGTTTCCTGTCCATTTAACAGGCGAAGCTTTAATCAGCTCCAGCGTCAACAGGATCCTTGAACATTTTCTGTATCTATGTAGAAATAAAGGAGTCGATTCTCATTATGACTGAAAAGAGAATGTCTGGAGAAACTAAATGACTTCATCATAAGCAAAGGAGCATCACTTTCATATTCACAGATTTGCTATTGCTTACAGAGTCTTAAATATGTGTTGTAATTAGGAGAACCATGTGAGCATTCCTGCTTGTTTGGTTACACAACATGAAACATATGACAAGATGCACCAACGTCATTCCATCAGATTATCAAAGTAAAACCAATTAGCACACTTTAGCTCAGCAGTCTGTTCGTAACAAGTTAATTATATATTACAGAATTACACAATTATATATACATAGCTATATATTATAGTATATATCTATTGTTGGAATACTTGAAATGGCTAATAAATAAACTAGGAGACCACAGGGGTGAGTCCTACGTGGGAGACACTGCTCTGATTGTGATACCACCACAATCAAAAGATCATTTCGGTTCAGTGACTCGCAATAAAAGCAAAGATTCACTAAGATGCTATTAGGAAACTGAGCCCTCATCCGTTTCAATAGCACCGAGGCTCTAGCTGAAACAAAAGCTTTTGTGAGGATCACAGGGCTCACTCTACCGCCTGTAGAGACATCAGACTGGTTTATGACAGACGGGTCAGCAGGGGGCGGCCGCTGGGGCTGAAAACATACAGCTAGCTTTAACTGCGCACACGTTTAAAGCAGTGGAGATGAGTGCACATTGTGTGTAAAGCTGCAAGAAAACTTGGAGACAACACACACACATAGTTTAGTGAACCCCCCAGTGTGAGACCTATGACCTGGTGCGAGTGGGTTTCTAGGTGAGTGTGAGTCAGGGTTGCCAGGCGCAGTACCACACCAGCTACTGGAATGAAGACTAAATGAGTGGGAGAAAGACACAACACAGTTTATGACACTTGAAGATTTTGCAAGTGCTACAGAACTCTGCTAGTTTACATTTTGTCCGCAAAATATGGTGTTGCTGTTCAAATAAAACTCTTACTTTGTAGTTTGAAATAGTAGTGTAACAGTCCACATGTTCTGAAAACACCAGTTTGGACCGTGACGGTTTGGCAGAAACTGCACTTTAAAACTTACTTAAGCTGCAAACACAAAAATAAGTTTGTCCATGTAAACACACCTTTAAATTTCACTAATGAATGTCGGAGTCTCTGTATGTTTGCCTGTCTGTTATTCACTTTTCTCGACAACCGTTCATCTGATCTACTTCACACTCGCCAGGTGTGTTGTTGTGGACTTCAGGAAGTGCAGTGCCAAGTATGAAGTCATTTGGACAAGCGGTTCTCAAGAAACAAAAGCAGAAACTTTCATAGCAGTGTGTTTTCAATGATGGTCGTGGATAGTGTGTTCACAACTCGCTAAATTCAGCTCAATCTAAAGTCAAAGTGTGTAGAAACAATCGAATACCTAATGCAAAGTTGTTTTGGATGCTACCTTAAGTAGCTGTCGACTGTTCTACTTATGGTGAGGTGCAGGTGACCACGAAAACTAAATTAAACAAGCTTGTGTTTGGCGGCATGTGGATGTAATCTTATTTTAACTGGTTGAAATGAAGTCGAAAACAGATCTTTGACATTCAGACAATCACCCAGTTTGTGTTCATTGGGTTTGCAGCCCAAATCAGCTGTGTGTTTGCTGACACACCCGATTACTTCTGTGACAAATGACTTAAATCCGTGATTAAATGCAAACCGTGATTGATCAGTTGCAACCAGGCACGTTTTGAAGACCACTGCACTTACATGTCCTAATCAACCTAAATCCATGTTATTGTTGTTTTTAACTCAGTAAGCGTCTGTAGGTTTGAAAGCTTTGTAGTTTGCTTCATAAAGAATGACTGGTAAATGATGGAATAAAGTTATTACCCTTTGTCACAAAGCTTCAGGGCTTCTTCAGTGAATCGAGCGTTTGGGTTGTATTCAGTTTACTGGACAGTCGAGAGGCGGAACATGCGGCTACTGGAGAAGATGAATGGATGCTTTGATACTTATTTCCTCGTGAAAACTTATCATCAAAGGAATAAATTGTAGCTGTATCGAAGCTGATCACAGCAAGAAAAAAAAAAGCAAACCCAAGCTTTTACAGCCTCCCATCACATCTGTGTGTGTGCTGCTCAAAATGCATTGGCTAAATTAGTTCTCCTTAAAGTTTTATGTACATTTTTCCAGCTTAAAAACTTTAAAATCTTCTCCCTTAATATAATGATTTTATTCATATGGCACCTTAGTACTTCAGAGTAAAAGCAGATATCGCAAGTAAACAAGACACCAAACGAAAAATGTCACAAGATTGAATAAATCAAATAGTTACAACAAACACCTACTGTTAAGAATGAGTCATATGATAAAAGTTAGTCTTCAGAGGAGATTTATTTGCTTGCCTGAGATCTCCAGACAACGAGGCCCAAAGCTGAGGCACCTGAATAGCAAAAAGCCTGGAGACCTTCCGTTTTGCGTCAACGCTTCTGAGGCAGCAATAAGGATACAGGCAGAAGTATGACCATTCAAGACTTTAAAAACAAGCAGAAAGCTCCAAGAACAACTCACCAGTTACCAGTGAAGGATATAGTTGCTTCTGTTGGTAGCATTTCAAACTAGTCTTTGGATGTTTTGCTTGCTGATACCAAAATAAAGCTGGGCCTCTTTATGAACATTACTTAATATGATACCCAGACCAGAGGAGACATGTTGTTATGTAATTTCAGATTCATTAAGCTGCAGGAAACTCTTGGACATCCAGTTTTTTAAACTTCAGCAGGACATGAGGCAGCTGAGGCTTCAACTTAAATGGCTTTTCATACACGTGTGTGTTCATCATGAATGGCTGACCCATGCTTCAACTCTGATATGTGCAGAGGATGATGTAAACCCTCATGTGCTATAAATGTCAGCCAATTAGCCTCCTACTGTAGCTACAGTAGCTTATCAGCCTACACGGTGTTTCCATCAGCATTAGTCATTCTTAGGTATCTGGAAATCTCGCTTTCTTCATGTGTGTTTGTAGTGATTTTTATCCAAGCTGCTCTGCTATCAACATACATCAATGCGCTAAATCTTCAGAGGCGAGTCATGAGTCAGTTCAGAGGAAGTGTCAAGTCTCGTCTCACAGCAGTTACACCCGGCCTTCACTTGAGAGATGAGCACGGTGCAAAAGTCACACTTTGCAACCAAGATTTTGTTAAATCTGTGTGAGACAATATCAAAATTGGAGTTTGTTCTTGTACATGATATATATTGAGTCAAGTTACCATCTAAATATAAAATGAATTATGTAAAATTTTAAGAAAAGAGCCCAAAGGACATGCAGTTGGTGGTGCTAAATCTCCAGTATAGTGCCATTCAGTCATTGCAAAAAGAAGTGAGATGGTGAGATGACGACTGAAGGAACAGCAGGGAAACTTAAAAAGGGTGTCTTAAAGTTGTGAGAAGAATTTTGTTTTAGGTTTTGTAAGACTGAAGAGACTCCAAAATGAGATTCCTCCGTAGGGTGGCTGGTCTCTGACATCTGAAGGGAGCTTGTAGGAGAGTCACTGCTTCGAAAGCAGCCAGTTGTGGCGATAAGGATGGCTCCCGGGCGACTTATTGTGGAGGTTTTCCGTCCATGTCCAACTGGAAGACGACTCTGGGGTAGATCCAGAACTCGCTGGAGGGATTTATACATCTCATCTAGCCTGGGGACATCTCAGGTTCCCCCAGGAGGAGCTGGAAAACATTGCTGAGGAGAAGGGTGTCTGGAAAGACCTGCTGAACCTGCTGCCTCAAACCCAAATCAGCAAAATAAAATGGATGGATTCCAATCTGCAGTGGTATGCCAATCAGGCATTGCAAAAGAAAGGGTGGGGGGGGGCAGTGAGATGATAGTCAAAGGAATAGGAGTCAACCTTAAAAGGTGGTGTATGGATGTGTCTCAAAGCTGTAAGAACAATTCTGTTCAGATTTTGAAAGATCACAGACACAAGCGATCAAATTGAATTTACTCTGAAGGATGGCTGGTTTTGGACATCCGGAGGGAACTCTGGTAGAGTCGTGTCAAAAGGAGCAAGCTGAGGTGATCAGGAAGCCTCATGGGTGATCTCCTATCGTGGTTTTCTGGCTACGTCCAACTGGAAACAAACCCCGGGGTAGACCCTGAACTCGGGATTATGCATCTCATCTGGCTTGGAAGCACCTCAGGATCCTCCAACAATGCTGGGAAGAGGGTTTTCTGGATTGACCTGCTTAGCCTGCTGCCTCCATGACCCGAACCCAGATAAGTGGAAGAACATAGAAAGTGAAAGATTTCACTTGTGCTTCATTTCCAACTGGGAGAAAACAGCACAGGCTCCCAGCAGTGAGTCAAGACTGAGCCATGCGCTCGTAACATGCAGCGAGTCTCACTGATCATAGTGATTACAGAAGAAAAAGTTGCACGCAGGTACAGACGTTGGGTATAATCCACACATGTGCTGAGAACACCACGGTGCATGTATCTGCCCATTTCCACGCCCCTCCACTCACCTCCCACCTTCTTTCCTCCCCTCTCCAACCCTCCCTCCCTCCCTCTCTCTCTCCCCTCTTGAATTAAGTCCATTATTCCAGCCTGCTCTCCCTCTGAGCATGTCTGCTCTGCTCAGCTGCTGTGAAAACTCTGTGTGTGTGAACTCCTCGCGTGTGTGTGTTAAGAAGAGTTTTTATGTGTGCGCACAGGGTTGTGTGTTTTTCTAAGTGGAGCTGAAGTGCAGCCGTTCATCAGTGGAGCTGACTGCAGACAGGGGAATACTTAGATCTCACTGCGCTGCTTTTTAACTTACACGCCAGCTGCTTTTTGGACTTTTTTTTTGCACCAAAGTGGGACTTTGCCGCTGCTCTCTTTCTGCCCTCCAGGCACCATTCCCATCACTGGAATTACAGGTTTATTTATTTTTTTGCCACTTATTTCTGGAGTTTCTACCTGCTTCAAACCAATTTCTGGACTCTCAAATTTGTACAGTTCACCTGATTCCCAAAACTTTGTCCCTGAACATGCCAAAGCCTGAGAATGGGGGTTTTGGAAGCACATGAAAAGAGCTCAGTGAGTGTGTGTCGATGTGTGTGCAGCACTGTGAGCGTGTAGCCAAGACGGTTTGTCTCATATGGTCGTGTTTCTTCTGTAATGCGGTGGAAAAAACTGCGAGAAGTTGAACGAAACAATAGCGTAACAATGGAAACCGTCAGCGGCGTCAGAAGCACGTCGGGTTCAGGTGGATGCTGATCCCCGACCTGGAATGCTCTAAACTCTTGTGGAATTTGGTTCCCCTGGAAACAGACGGGCAGGTGAGTTAATGTGGACCGCGGTCCAGTCAGAAGTATTTAGGATCACAAAGTGTATTTTATCTGTGATTTCAAGTTGTCATCTTGTATACGTAGAAGATGATGTGATTAAAAGAATATCTGGGTGTGAGCTAGTGTAGTTTCTGATCATATTACAACCAGTTTGTCAAATACAATCAGAAAATAACTTCAGTTCAGGTGCCTGCTGTGTTCATGACCTGATCTTGTGCAGTACTTTTCCTGCAGCATTAAAGCCCAAAAGATCTTTTTTTTTTAAACAAGTCACACTGATGACATGTGGGCTTTTTTTCCCTAAAAGAACTGGGTAGAGCTCTGCTCTGTTGTTTCATTTAGGAGAGTCGAGTGAGTTGTCTTGCTTCGGAGAGCAGCTTGGAGCAGATCCAGTCAGGAGACCAGAGGCAGCTCTGCGAGGTCCTGACTTACTGCTGCTTCTGGGCTTTGACAACAGCCAAATGGCCGGCTACCAGCGACCAGCGGGCTGCCCTCGCCTTAGTGGCTCCTTCATTGTCTCTTATTTCAGAGGTTCTTGTAGCAGACAAGAGGTTTAAGCTGCATGACCGCAGAAAGGCAACTTTCCAACAGCAGCTGCATACATTTCTTCCCTGTAATACATCAGGTTATCCACTGTATCACCTCTTCCCAGCCCGACTGTGCAGACAGAGCTGATAAAGGGACTGACAAGACATCCATCATCCTGAGTGAGACTTGTCAAACTCTTAGGGCTGCACAGTCTTTGTGGACTACATGTGATTTATAGGCTCCAGCCTGCAATATTTCTTTTGACCACTGAAGTTTTTGAATAGTGACAATATTTTAGCCAAACTGAACGAATGCTAGCCACTGGCGTGCAGGCTGGGAAACTTTCCATCCATGATGCTGGGCCAGATGGCTCGGCACCAGCAACCAGCAGAGCGCTTTGGCCTCGGAGGCTCCTCCATTCACTGAAGCTCTTTCAGAACAACCGGGGTCTCTGCCTCGAATCTTCTCGCTTTTTCTTTCCCACTTTGTTTCAGCCTAAATCCCTTAAATACTGCTAGTCACTTTGGCTTATAACTGCTTTGCTTTGCTTGCTGTGTGTGTGTGTATGTGTGAGAAACTTACTTAATTTACTCCTGCACTGGCCCTAGACTCTGAAAATAAGACTGTACTTCTGAGCTGCATTACACGGTGGACGCAGAAACTTTTAGGAACTTTCATATGACTGAGCTTTGAACTTTTTTTTCCTTTTTTGCCCGTGTAACTCACTATAAAGGCTTGTTTCAACCCAACTTTTACTTCAATTCTTATTAAACTTCTTATTCATTGATTGTAAAAGTCATTGTAAAAGTCGCACTTTCTACACGCACTTCCCTCCAGGTATTTTGTCCTTAAATCCAGCAGCATGTTTTCGTGCCGCTCCGCTCTGCTGCATCATCTGCTTCTGCCATTGCACATCTGAGACTTCCTACGTTTTATTTTTTCTCTCTGGAAATAAAACAATCATACGCACAAGCCAAGACTTTTATTTTCGCTTTTATCTGAGCTGAATCAAAACTCAACAATGCTTTAAAGGCTGTGATCGCAGTGGGATTCAACAGCCAAGGTGGGAATGTAGCAAGACTCGAGGTCCAACTTCTTACATGCTCGCTGCACTTGTACCATGAGGTGCTTGTGAAGACACAACATTCAGCCTCTGGATTCTTCACAATCATACGCTCAACACCAACAACAATCTGGCTGCTATTTCCAACCTTAACCCCACAAAAAACAAGTCTAAACGTGGCGATAAACGATTAACCGTTAAATCAAATCAGTACCAACAATGTGGCACGCACTATTCATCCCCTGCCTTCTGAAATGCTTCCTATAATGACCACTTTTCATGCAAACATTTCAGATTTATGGCAATTTATGAACTTGATTAAACCAGTAGTAAATTACCAGCAGGAAAACAACAGGTGGCATGAAACTAGCGCTTTCAATTCCAATGCGCTTCAGATGTTTGCCATTAGCTTCCAGATGACACAGCTCAGTAAGAATGGGATCATTTAACCCTTTGTTATGCAGTTACACGCCTCCCAAACGTGGAATTTGCTGCATTTATTGTGGACGTTGCTGCTTTTTTTTTGTCTTTCTCCTCTTGTTTCTCTTTGCCAGTTTAGTGTCCCTCCGTTTCTCATTTAATCAGTTTAGATTTGCCGTTAAAGTGCACCATGCAGATCATAATAAACAGCCATAGAGTTGGGAGATGTGATAAATGCAAAAAAAAAGCTGAATTCTCAATCATCTCAACCTCCCTCCCTCCCTCCTAATGCCCCCTCTATCGAACCGGTGCAAAAGCCACCAGTTACCTGCTGTTTCAGTCATTTTGCTCTGTTAAAAAACTCCTCCCCCTCCCCTCCTCACCCTCTCCATCTCATTCTTCCTTTTCCTCCATCCATCCCTGCAGCCTTTCATTTCTCCGTCGCAGGGAGGCTTAGACTTGTTGGTCACAGGCCAGGGAAACTCTTTTCTCTGCCCGCCGGCAAAACAATTGGCTCCTTTCTCTCCATCACCTCTCGCCTCGCTCGTTTTCTTCTCCTCCATCCCTCCCTCCCTCCATCGCATTCTCCTTTTTCTCTCTTTTTTTTTTTTCCTCCGTGGGACCGTGTGCATGAAGGCAGGCAGGCAGGCTGCTGAAATGTCTATATCTTCATTCACTGCCTCCACTTTGACTCTCACTCATTGCTTCCGTCTCCTCCAAATTTCTCTTCTTTCTTTTCTCCATCATCCCCTGTCTTTCCACCTATTTCTTAGCCCTCCCTCACTTCTCTTTCCTTCTCTCTGCTGTCACACATCACCACCCTCTTAATAACTTCCCTTCATCTCTCCATCACCACCTCATTTCACCCGTTCTTGCTTCCGTTTCCCCCCTCGGGTATCTCTCCTGTCCCTTCTCGCCCTCGATTTAGGCCTCTTCCCTCCTCATCCTCCACACATCTGACCCCTCAGTGCTTCTTCTTGCCCCTGACCAGCGGTAGCGGCACCACAGGTCCAACCTCTGATATCCGTCCGTTTGTTAGTGCACGCGGTACTGTAGTGTTGCACTCTAACCTCGCTCTCAAAGGCCCGTCTCACCCCGGAGGCTGGCCTGCTTTGTCTGCCCGTCTCTATTTAGGCTGGTTTTTGACAGGACGGCTTGCACCCCCCACCTCTCTTGCTCTCTCTGTGTCTTTCTCTTTATTTTTAATCCACTCCCTCTTGGCATGCTGCTGCTCCATGTCTATTGAAGCTGAACTGAATGCAAGTGTCAGTGGGCCCAGTGGCTCTTTTTTTTTTTTTTTTTTTTTATTAAGATGCATTATGGAACATGCAAGGGGAGTTTGCGCGTGCGCGTTTGCAGAGAAGGACTTTGTAGATGAGTATATAAAAGCTCCTGCACACATGTATGTAAATGCGCTGAGCGAGAAACAATGATGGTCTCTTTAGCTCTCGATGGCAAATTTAGAAGGCACAGCGCAGGGAGAGGAACAATGAGGCCGGCGGTTCCTTTTATAGCAGCCGACAGGAGCGTAAGGCTTCACCGCTGGCCCTGTCACTCCCAGGAACTGTGACGTGAATCCTACCAATGTGTGCGTTTCTGTCTGTGTGTCGTGGGAGCTGCAGAGTGCTGACGTCCTTCTGCTTGAAATACTGCAGCGTCTTCGCAGCTCAGTGCAGAACCTTTTTCCGTTCTGCTTCAGAAAGCTGACAAAAAAGTGATAATGGGGACGGCGTTATCACTTTATTGCAAGTTTTCTGCAAGATTTTTTTGCCCCGAACCTGAACCAGACCACCGCTGTAAAACCTTCCCTCAAACCTCTTGGGATTGTGAAGCAGTGGCAGGTTGTGTTCTGCTCGTATGTGCGCTGCTTTTGTCCATTCACCAATGTGTGCGCGTTTACATACTGCGGGGTATGCGGGAGTTTATGTTCCTGTTAAGCTCTGTCCTGTTGTGTTGTGGCCTGGGAGCCATGAGCTTATGAGAGCTCTCCTGTCTCTACGCTTCAATAGCTCCATTATTCATAAAACTCTGTGCCAACAGCCTAGACGGGTCCGTGTGTGTGTGTGTGTGCAGCATGTGTGTGTGTGTGTTTTCATATGTGATCACTACAGCTTCATGCAGACATTTAGAGATTAATATAAAGTTGTACCGGTTTAGAACAAACGTGAAGAAGTTTTGAAGGATTTATTTTGCTTTAAAGACGGGTTGAGATGATGGCTGGGTTCGGGTTCGGGCCTCAAAACCACCACCGACCGAGTCATCCTCAACCAAAGACGCAAATCTGTGAAATCTTCGCCTCCGTTGGTGCATCACTTGGTAGTAAATAATCTGAACCAGATGTTAGCGCACCACATAACAAGCTGAGGCTGAGCGTCACTCCCGCTGACTCCTGTCACACAAGCACAATGGATGTACCGCGTATAAAACCTCAAATTAAAAAAAAAAAAAGTTCAAGGGTTGACCGATTGGAGAGATCGACTTTAGACTACTGTTCAAAATCCATCCACATGGGCCTCCTTAAGCATTTGAGCCTCCTTATTAAAAAGCACCATATAAAGAAAGATACTGTTACTTAACGTCTGACATTGTCACCGACAGAAAAACCTGTCTGCGGTACAGAGTCTTATTAAAAAAAAATTTCAATGCCAAGACACAGAGGGTAACAGATGAAGGGCAGAGATAGAAGGTAATTGCAAGGCGGTGGGGGGGAGGGGGAGACGAAGTAAAGATTGAAAATTGAAAAAAAAAGGGGGAAAAGCCGAGTGTCTGCTCTGTTACTGAGTGCACACTACGAGGTGCAATATAATAAAGGAGACTGTTTTCAGTGAAAGGCTTTATTGTTCTGGCTGACCGCAGAGTCCAAAGTACTGAAAGAGAGGTGTGTGTCCCATGCAGGCTTTTTTTTTTTTTTTTACAACACAACGCTCGTATACATGTAGGCTTACAAACCGGTGACCTCGTTCCTGCTTCGGCTGAGCTCAGTTGCTGGGGAGTTTAGCGATAACTCCAACAACTTCACAGATTTTAACTTTTTTAACCATGCTCGAGAGGCCACATGCAAACAAGGTTATAAATAGTCGACGCTGCGATGCTCCGAATAACTTGCAATGTCGACGATCGCTGTGTCGATTCTGATAGGAAAATCTCATCACAAAAGCCGGCAGTCTTTCGCTCCGTGCTGCTGGACTCTCTCCGTCCATTCATCCGTCCATCCGTCCACGTCACTGTCGGCTCATTAGTCACTCAGCGAGAGAAGAGATCTCATTTGGTGACAACGTCTGCCAGTGTGGAGGGGAAAAAAGTGAGAAAGGCTGCTCTGAGCTGGCAGTGCCACAGACATAGAGAGATTGTGCTTGGCTTGGCAGCGGGCATAGTGTATCTCTATCTCACACACCACGGTCAGTGTGTGTGTGTGTGTGTGTTTTGGATGCTGTCCCCGAGTCTTGCTGTAATGTGAAGAGATTATAGTGTTGTTGCCATAATGGAGGCTGGCATTAGCGCGGCCTGGCAGGGGCATCAATCTAACTCCGACTAAATATACCTCAGACGCCAGGGTATTTTTTTTTGTGTGTGTGTGTGTGTTCATGGGGGCATCCCTGGCACAAGCACGTGTATGCAAGCGGTGCAAATTTTCTGAAATCCTTCTCCCCTTTCTGTCTCTATTTTTAGGCGTCCATGCCCATGTGCGACGTTTTTTGGCCCGTCTCGGACGTGAGAGGTGAACTTGGTCGTCCTTCACTGGAGGAAGAGGAGGAGCAGCGATTTGGCCGGGAGATATTTTAAAAGATTATTACAGAGACCTTAAAAGGAAGAGCGGACATGAACTAGAAGCTCCACTAAAAGGATCCTTCAGAAGTCCTTAAAAGGCTGGTGGCTGCTTCTGATACACAGACAGGAAATATAGACAACATATGTAAATAAATTACACTACAACACCAGCGTTGGGCATTAAAGGAAAATACATAAAACTCGGTCACTTCACGGACTCGATTCTTTTTAAACGAAAGGACTTTGCTGTAAGTAGCCAAGATGATGACCATGATGATGATGATGGCGGCCATGATGGTCACCTGCAGCTCTCTGTTCCTGCTCGGTCTGGCTGCTGCTCACGCCTCCTCCAGCACCGTGACCCGAACCTCCTCTTCATCTTCGTCCTCCTCCTCCTCCTCTTCTTCCTCCTCCTCATCATCCTCCTCCTCCCCACGCATGAAGCTTTCATACAAAGGTAAGAGCAAAAAGTGTCCCTGCACCAAAGTTTGTACAGTGAGGCGACGCATGCGAAACCCACTTTCTCTGTTTGGTGTAACATCCAGCCGTATTCTTTACAGCGTAAATACGCCTGAACAGTAGCCAGCTGCAATTTGTGGTTTTTGCGATTCGCAGCCGCACGTACATAAACAGATGCACACACGCAGTAGCACGGTTTTGTGTTTCATCTCGAGCATTGTGTGTTAGAAGGAGGCAGCTCAGTGCCCAACACAACCACATAAACCAGGGATGTGTTCCATCACTGAAAGCTGGCAATTACAGCCCCAACTAACTCACCAAGGACGCGAGGCTCACCGAAGGCCGCCTGCCCGGCTGAGATATGTGCTCTCTTTAATTTCCACCGAAGGTAACATGAAGGAGGGGAAGACGTAAGAATATTTCAGTTTTATCTGACGCATGAAGGACGAAAAAAAAAAGGGGGGAAAAAAAAGCCTCTTTCATGTCAGAAATAACTTCTGATTTTATTTAGCCGGCAAATAAGCAGCACGCCGCAGCAGCTGCCTGTTTCTAATTTAACAGTTTCTTTTGTTATAAGCCGCATGTGGTTGTTAAAATAGCTCTTAGATTATTTAAGTTGTAGAGGGATGGTTTTCTGTTACCTAAGCAATAAATTGGTTACACAAGTTGACGTTTGCTGACAGGTTTCACATTTTGCTGTCAAACACCAAAAGCGACAAAAACAAGAAAATCTGTTGTGAACAAAAAATGTTAAAAAAGAAAACAAAGGTGAGAAAACGCCCACATTTTTCCATTGACACGGAAAACGCAGATTGTTGTTGGTTTGGTGTGGTTCCCATTTTGTGTTTTTTCAATTTAAAACCAAAAATGAAAAAAAACAAGAAAACAATACAGCTCAGTTCTTTTATCCAGCATCACGTGTTAAATACAGCATCTATGGATGAGATGATGTTGACGAATATTCTACTTTAAGTCACATAACATCACCATATTTCATACGAACAAGCTAATTTAGTGAAAGTTGCAGGCGACCGAGTCAATCACAAAGTAGTTTGTTTTCCTGACAGTAGAGTTCTCACATGTCACTTTATTTTGACGTGTTCATTTAACCAACAGCTCACCATCTCCAATGATTGGTGGTCTTCACTTTGCAAAGGAACATTGAAAAAAATGGAAATTACACGAAGAGAAAAAAAGACAGTTTTCTCCTTTGCTGATTTTCAATGATAATGGACATTGGAAAAATGAGCCTGTTTTTTTGTTGTTGTTTTTTGTTCCACATTTGGTTTAAAACAAGACAAAAAAACAAAGAATTGGATTATAACAAACCAAGAAACATGCTGTGTTTTCTTCTTTGTTACAGTTGATTTCAAAGCTAATAGATTTTGGGAAAACTACAAAGTGAGCCCAGAAAAATCTGTGTTTTTGTGATTTCACTAAAAAAACTGGTGAAACTTTAGTATCCAGACCCTGTAAGTAGACTAACATGTTATTTTTTAAATGTTCAACATCATAGTGGTAACATTCAAAAGTTGTTAACCTGCAGACTTGCTGACTAAAAATATGGTAACGTGCAGATGAAGAAAATTAAGTGTGTTGAAGGAATTAGTGCAGCTGGAAGACGAGTCCTGTTCAGACTGTTGTTGTGAGTTGGGACATTATTAGGCAGCTCGAGAGACAAACAACAGAACAAAACTACTGAAAAGGGACATAACAGCTGTTTTAATTAACTCAAAGACACCTGAATGTTTTAAAACTCCGATTCCTTCTCATTTACTAGAAAACAGGCCGTTTTTGTCAGTAGGTCACCTTTAACACATATATGTCGTTAGTCTCGGGGTTATTGTCACCACAGTATGGTGGGACTGAATAATAAAGTCCCTGATGTCATGCAGGCGACTAATGGGTGGCGTCAGAATCTTAATTAAAGTTATAAATCCACATTAGAACAATGGCAGACTAATAAATCCATTTTAATGTGTAAGCGAAGAGGGCTTTGGTCTTGTTTTCTTAAGCTCCTCGTCTCAGCCAGGCCAGCAGGGGAGGATGCAGTCCCTTTATTTCTTTGGCTTCTCGAGCCAAGAACACTGTTTTTTTTTTTGTTGTTTTTTTTTTTTTTTTCCTTTGGCTTGGGGTAAGTATTACAGCTTAAATTTACAAATACAAGCTGAATTTTCCTGGGCACTGTGCCCCCCAGAATTAGTTCTTGCCAGTTTGGAAACAGCATGAACACTCAATTTTTCCATTGAAACCAATATAGTATCATTACTGTTATAGGATTTTTGTCCTGCCTGTTCACAAGTGACTGGCCTTAGGACACAGCTCATAAATGTTATTTAGATACACTGAAAAGACGTGGTAATCGTCTTCATTAACCACATGACTCGCTGCAGCCCCGGAGCCAACTCACTGATTTGGATCAGAAGACTCTGATGACTTGAGGTTGTTTTGGCACCGATACTTCGAGCACCAAGTCGTTCTTAGGTCATTGTTTACTCTCACTGCAAAACTCCCTCACAAAAGAATAAGCAGAGGTCATACAGTTATAAATACGATGTGGCTGTTTACAGCACGATGCGCGTTAAACGTGACAGAGTTTGCATGCGGCAAGAATACACCGACCTCGGTATTAAACTTGCAACAGAAGGTGCAACACGGACGAACTGACTGATCGCAGCTCAAGAACTGTCTGGAATATTTACATAATCATCGATACACAAACACTTCTATCCACAAGCACGCTAGCACACGCAGACTCACACACCTCAGATCTTTAATTTTAATCAACGTGGAAGCTTCTTTAAACCAAAAACAATAAAATCACCACCGAGACGAACAATCAAATCAGCGGATGTGTGTGTGGTTGAGCCTAACAAGTAAACCTGGATGTTTTCAGAGTTGCAGCAGTTCCACGGAGTCCGGCGGTTCGAGCTGGAGCGATCCTGCTGCTTCAGCGCTCTGCTGCTGGACGAGGAGCGGGGCCGGCTGTTCGTGGGGGCCAAGAACTTCCTGCTGTCGCTGTCGTTGGACAACATCGCCAAGCAAGAGCACAAGGTGGGCCAGAAACTCCACCGAGCAAAAGTTGTGCAGCCGTAAAATATGAGGAAGTGTCTCTCGATCAATACTAATTTCCTCCTGCTGTGATTTCAACACCTTCGGTTTTAATGGAGTGTCGTGCTCGGCGTTGGCCGACGGACCTGAACCGCGCTCTCATCAGTATCTGTATATGTTTCTATCAGAAAGTTACTTCATTGCCTCGGTTCATTTTGATTACAAAGGAGATTAAGATGATTACACTGGCAGCTGATGAAAGCTGTGAAGTGGTTCCTATTTACATCCATACTGTTTGATTTCTAGGAGTCATTTGTCAACTGCTGTTATCGAAGTCAGGTCACTAGAGGTTCATGACGACAAAAAGAGAAATATCCAGAAGCATTTGACAAACATATCAATCCGAAAATCACTGCACATCTGAGACCGATCGAGTGCGTGAGCTCAGGGGAAGAAAGAGAAACACAGGATTAGTAGAGAAGGTAGGAAATCAAAGCGCTGGACGCTGATAAAAAGAAAGCATTAAAAAAAAAGCCCAGTTAATATCGAAAAGGCCTGCTGTGATTGAAACCTTATCGTAACTAATAGTCTAGGCTGCAGAGGCAAACTTCCACAAAGTACACATCAGAGCACACAAAATACTCATTGATATACACCCTATAGCTACGCAAGCAGATACAGCGCAACAGAAACATCTGTCCACAGCTGTTTGGAGTAAATTACACGTTGGGCGCGTTAGATGTGAAACCTCCGCTGGGTTTTAGGTATACGGGCGAGTTTGATTTATGACCTGGGTGTGCAGATTCACCATAGCTGGAGCTGTTTTTCCAATGTGGTCGGGCGCGGGTGGGATAAAGAGGTTAAAGACTGGAGGAGAGAGAAGCAGATGGGAAAGGACGGAAGTGGAAGGAAGAGAAAGAAAGGAAGTAGGTTGAACAAAAGTATGAAGGGGCTGAAGTGGAGGGAAGTAAGTGGAGGGAAGCTTCCGTTAGTATCCCAACTGTTGTTTTATGTGAAGTGTGATGTTTAACCCTCTGAACTCCAAGCAGGTTTTTGTTTTATTCCTGTCATGTTTTTACTCAATTTGGGTTTATATAAAGTCCTGCACCTTTATAGAAACAGCCCAATCATTACTAGAAGTAGAGCAAGTCAGAAACGTCGTCAGTGCAGTATGACACATCTGTAATGCCATAAATCGTTCAAAAAAGAAATCTAAAATTTACTTTCTTGAAAAATGATAAAATATTTTTATTGTAATTTTTCCAAGTTGCCCTGAGTGTTACCAATACTGGAAAAGAAATAGTAACTCTACAAACTGTGAATACTTTACTATTTGCATTTTTAATTTGTTTCCGTACTCGTTTCTTGTCTGCTCTGTGTGAACACTGCCTGCAGTTCAACCCAGGTCAGCTGAAAAAAGTTTCTGAATTTTATTCACATGATGGTCACAGCTGAGTCACTTAAGGCATAACGGTTGCAGCTTTACATAGTTTGCTTACTGCAAACAATTAGATTTTGGCTAATTTATAAACAAGACACGTAGAATAACATGAGGTCGATGGAGCATCATAACTTTAGGCTTAGATTTGGTTACGTTTTGACTGCCATAGAACCGTACATCACTTATGATTAGTTCAAAGACCATTGGAAAGCTGAAAATCTGACAATTTGTTAGAGTTTCAAGCTCTGAAACCCAGTATAATTTTGGCTTCTTCTCTAACCCATAACTTTCAAACCCAATCAGATCAAGTTTATTGTCATTTTGCTGTACATGCACAGAAGTACAGGCAAGATTAGATTCAGGATCCAATAACTTAAAGCAATTTAAAGAAAGCAGTGTTTGCATATCTGGATCAGCGGTTCAGCATTCTGACAGCTTGTGGCATGAAGCTGTTGATTGAGGAGTTTTGGAGTTCAGAGGGTTTAAAACAGTATTGAAGGTTGTGAAAGTGTCACATGGAGGGAAATTCTTATTCGACAGACTTTAAATGGCTGCATTTATGATATAGCAGAAATATCTGATCATAAAATTGTAAATTCTGACTAAACTGACCTTTTCCTGCCATGTTTCAGATCTACTGGCCTGCCCCCGTTGACTGGAGGGAGGAGTGCAACTGGGCTGGAAAGGACATCACTGTAAGTCTCACCTAATGTCATCTCTTCTAGTTTTTTTCTCCATTTAGAAAAATACACACTTCAACAGAACCTGAACGTATTCATTCCTTCTCTGACAAACCTTGCTGGAAATGCGGTGTTTTATGCGTTAAAATGTAAACTAGAAAAATACCGAGGCCGCTCTTGTTAGCAGCAAAAGTTAAAATATTTCTCTGGGTTTCAACAAGATGGTAGCGCTTTGTGCTTCATAAACGATGAACATCAGGCTCCTTATCGGCCTTCAGGATCACACTCGGTGAAATGAGAGGGCCACGGGGCAGACCTTGTGGAGGAGGTAGCTGTCCACTCCTACCCAGCCCAACACAATGCTACCTTCTAATCCACCGGAGTCATGGGAGTCATAACAAGACACAAACACCACTTTTAAGTAAGATAACATGTAATAATAGGTGCAGCACTCCCACTTCTGGACCTGCCGTGTGGTGAGATCACTTCCTCAAAATCTGTTTCAAACCCTTTCTGACAGTTTAATGCAAAGACACTTTTTTTTTGTCCCCCTCTCCAGAGCAGTTCCTCTGCTTGGATGCATTTTGGTAGATTGCTTTATGTCATTATGTAATTTTTAAATGTCTTGTAAGTAAGACAGTCTCGCTTCTATACTAGATTAGAGAAACCCAGTTAGTGCACGATAGCTGCAAACTCACTTACTGCTCGGGTTCGAAACATTACAAGAATATTAAAATATTAAAAATCAAAATAGAGGTATGACACTGCTGTGACACAGGATCACAGGAATCGGCACATTCTCGGATTACCGTCTGATTTAAACTGAACATCTTCTCGAAATCTAAACTACATTAAGTCAGCTGCACAGCCAACAGTGTGCTAAGTGTGTTAAAGAAACAAGACGTCCCTATGCTACGTACAGTAATCATGCTCACAGAATAAGGGCAGAGAAATCTGATTATTGACCTGCTTGCATGCAAAACACGTGTGCGCGGTTACATTAGGTTACGGCGCGTGTTTATGGACTTTATCAGCAGGGAGGGACTGAACCCGACGAGCAGCAATAGCAGCTATGAAACGATAAAGGAAACGAAACAAAACAGTGAGGGTGGGAATCTTTTTTTGATTAGATTCAGCTCTTAACTGATTGTGCACAGATTGGACACGACTGCACCCGTGACCTGCTCTCAGCCCAGTTCGGCCTCTTAGTTGCCTTTGTTCTTTTCTTTGGCAGCCGGAGGAAAAAAAAGTTCTATTTTCATCTGCATTAGGACATTTTAAGTTTCCAAGAATATGCTGTATGTGACGATTATGAGTCTAAATGCGACGAAGGCCGCAGGAGCCTATAGACCACCCAGGATTACATCACACACTGTTACACAGCTCGACATATCTGTGTATATTTGAGTATTACTTCCCATCAGCGCGTGCAGACTCGCCCCCGGTGCGTCGACGTATATTTATACTCGCGTGTTTGACAGCGCGGTTCATGTACAGTATATGTAAGAGTCCGATGTGTGCGCCATTGTGTGTAAAACAAACCCGTCATCAGCGTGATTACACAGCTGCAGCAGACAGACAACGAGCTCCATTCATGCAACAAACCCAGAGGCTTCAATTTCACCTGACCAGGAGAGTGTGTGTGTGTGTGTGTTTAGGTTTGTTTGTGTTTGAAAGTGAGAGTAAAAGTTCCTCCATAGGAAGCAGTGAAGGAGATATGGACAAACTATAGAGATTCTGGGGGATTGAAGGGACTTTTTCCTGGCTCGTCTCTGTTATTCCTCCTTTTTTTGGCCTTTAATATGTTATTTTAATTCCTCCCTCTCCTCTGATTTCCTTTGACTTCTCTCCTCTGGGTTAAAACGCACCCACACACACTGAGAGCTGAGCTGACCTCACACCGTTGACCCTAATTACAGACGAGTGTGTTTCTCTATAGGACGAGGCCAGAAGCTCTTTCTCCCTCCTCTCGGTCCTCCATTCCTCCCATAGTTTCTCTGCATCCAACATTGTTTGTTCCCTGGGAACTCTGGTGTTGTTTACAACCCCTTCAGCCCCATTGTCTCTGTGTTCGCTCCTCTCCTCTCAATAACTTTGTGTTCTTTTTACTGTCTCCTCTCCCATGGGATGCTTATTAAGCCCTTCAATGTGACAGTGACCACAAATAGCTCTATCTGTTGCACAAGTGCACAAAATATACTGTGTGATGAGACACACAAGAGGGAAGTGATTTATTATGCTCATGCTGGGACTTGGCTTAAAGCACGGCTCTGCTCTCTGATTTAACGCCTAAAAACTCTGTGCATCAGTTACACATTTAGTATTATTTTCCCAGGCACACATTAACTTCCTGCCTTAAAATGCCTCAGATGTAACTCTACACCAACTGCATTATCCAAAAGACGCATGTCGTCCTCGCCTCTGTCTCCACCCATCTCCTAACTGGCTGCAGCTTGAGCACGCCAGCTCACAACTCTGCTCAAACACTGTAAAACTGCTCCACGTTGCTGATACTGGATTCCTGGAGCAATTCAGCCATACATGTTCAAAACCAGAAACTGGCTCTGAAGGAGAATAATGATACAGAAAGCTCTGCCCTGCATCTGAGAACTGTTGCATGAAACTCTAGAAGTTTGAATTTGCTGCTTTATTGTCACTAGAGAGGCTTAACAAGCTCACACACTACACTTCAGTTGTATTAATAGTATTTAAGAGAAGTTTCTTGTTTGTTAGAAAAGATTCAACCCACAGAAATGTTTAGTTTTTTCGTCGTAATGATTCTTACTTTGCCGAATATTCATAGCTGAACGAAACGGACTAAGTAGCAAATAAAAACTCTAAATATATTCTGGGTTTGGATAGGTTTGTTCCTACCAGACATGACAGTAGATGCTTTGGCACCAGATCCTCTAACCTAAAACCCACAACTTGTCTTGAAATAAATAAATAAAATCACCAAAAAAGGCAATTATCAGCAAGACACAATGAAAACAGAGAGAAGTGTCAGATTCCACTCATCTGTATTATGCTGTTTGGTCAGGAAAATGAACAAAATTTTACCTTAAAATTGTGATAATTTATTTTTTGTGTAAAGAATTTATTGAACACGTTTCCCTTAAAAATTCCTTAAAAAAAAAAAAAAAAAAGGAAAAATATGGTAAAAATAAAATCATTTCCAGAAACCAGACTCTGTAAAAAAATAAAAATAAAATAAAATGAAAACGTCTGCAGTCCTGGCACAACCATGTATAAACCAAAAACTTATGGCTTGTAAGTTTTTCAGTTGTGACCACCAATGATGTGACAAAAATGAAGGGACTTTCTGTTAAACTGGGTTGAACTGCAGGCTGTGTTTACACAGAACAGACAGGAGACAAGTATGGAAATAAATTAAAAATGTAAATAGTAAAGTATTCACAGTTTGTAGAGTTACTATTTATTTTTCACACTTGGGACAACTTGGAAAAATTAGGATTATTATTATTGTTTTTTTTTTTTAATCATTATTTATCAACAAGTTCAATTTTAGATATTTCTTTTTTAATGATTTATGGCATGTAGAGCCCTATTACTTCCATTGTTTTACTAACACCTGTGACACTTGGAAGAAATCTATATGTGCTGATGTCAGGTTTTCTTTCTTTTTTTTCCTATTAAATAACTAGTCACAATAATTCAACTTCATTTTTTAAAAAGGGGAAAAAATGAATTATGCCATAATAACTGTGCCATACTGCGCATAAGATGTTTTCTAGTTCTCTCTACTTCTAGTCATTCTTGTGCTGTTTCCATTGAGGTGCAGTGAAAAATGAACCCACAGTGGGAATAAATGTGACGGGAGCAAAAAAAAATAATAAGAAGAAAGAAGCTGCTAGGAGTTCAGAAGGTCAAAGTCCTTAATATAATTTTTAAAAATATTGCTGTGCTGTTTTAAATACATTACAGTATATTGCATTTCATTTGCATTACACAGCTTCAAAAAAATCACCCAAAATACTAAGTTCTCCAGCGTAATGTCACTTTAGCTTAGCTTTAACAAACACACACGAGGCAGGTGATGGGTTGAGCCGCAAAAAGACAAAGAATAAACACCTCATCACTCACACACACAAACACACCGACACCACAGGAAAGCCACCTAACATGCACACTAAGACAAACACAGACACATGCACATAAACACAGTCGGACAGCGGCAGTAAACAGTTGACAGTTGAGCCAGACGCTCGGTCTGACTCAGCACTCGGAGGCGTCTGAAGCAGCGTTTAAAGCATCACCGCTGATGGATTGCGTGTTTATGCTGTGATTTTAGCACCCACTTTGTCACTGCGCCCGTCTTCCAACGCCCATTAACAAATCATCGAGTAGAGATTATTAATGTAAATTATTATTGTTAAAATTCAATCGGATTCAAGGGCCGTCTTTCAAAACCGTCTCCGATGCTACGCTAAGCACCGGGCGATGAATGACGCACAAAACTGTCAGTTACATCTGATATTTAAGACTTTCTGTGTTAGACAATGAGTTATGTAACCAGAAAATGACTTATTCACATCCCTGCTGACGGGAAGGAGGTTCAAGTTCAGGACAGTTTCAGACTTTCCCAGCCGAAACACAAAAACAGCAGCGTTTGTGATTTATCTGAACAACAAAGTTGTCTTAGAATTGATCTTCTTCGTGTAAACTGCAGTAAAGGTCATGTATTCAACAGGAAACACATGTTTGCACTCAGTTGCAAAACCAAGACAACCTTATTTTTCCATTTTTCTTTTTTAAGTGAATAGAACAGTTGCTGTACAAATTGCCGCACAAGCTACAGATGATTGATAACTCGATTAGTTATGCAGTTTATCCTAAAAAGCAATACTTTTAAACCACACCAGCAGCTCTGTGACTGAGCTAACATGAGGGTGTTCCCAAATGTTATCAGCCTTTAGAACTTTTCGTGTGTTTAGTGGGTCAAATGTTCAACAAGTTCACCGTCTTACTCATAGACTGTATAAAAGAGCTACCGTGACGTCACCCGTTGGTTTCTGCACTGAGAAAATGAAGCCAGGGTTTTGCTACTTCCTGGTTGACATCTTGGATTTTTGGAGCCAGTGACGCAAAAATCGTGGGAGGGGGGCGGAGCCATAGGAGCAGCGATTGGTCAGACGGATTGAGAGGCGGGCCCTCTCTGCCCCGCCCCCATTTACCGCCTTCTGCTCGCTTCGTCTGTATGGTCGCTGCCGACTGTCAATCAAGCCAGCCACGCCCCTTGCCCCGCAAAATGTTGACCAGTGTTCATTTATTTTCAGATTGGCCACCTGATCTCTGGATTTGACCATGAAAACTAATAAGAAAAAAATCCTGAGCTGTAGGAATGCAGTATTTGGTGATCTGTGATCACTTCTTTTCCAATTCAAGTCTATGGGAGCCAGGGCTTTTTGGAGCCAGCAGCTAGTGGATGTAGTGATATTGCAGGTTTTTGACACTTCCAGGTTGGCTTCATTTTTCAGGGCCGGCTGCTACGTCCATCAGACTTTTTTACAGTCTATGATCTTACTTTAGCATGCTAGCATTTGCTAATTACCGCTAAAGGTTCCAGAGATCCGTCCATCCCAGGAGAAATATGTCAGACGGACGTCGCCGCTACTGCATTGTCCTGTTCAGCGGAGGTGATCAAAGGCATTCCTGGGCTGTTACACTGCGCTGTGTTGTGTATCTAACGGATATCTACTGTGCACCATCATTCCAGGGCGGCCAAACTCTCTCAGCCATTAACTTTATTAAAGTTTCCTGGCTTGTCGGGACTCTTTGCTTTCAGTCAAAACTGAAAGATAAACTCTCCTCCAAACTTTTCTTTTGATGAAATATAAAATCTGGAAACGCGTTTTTGAAGGACTGAGAAAAAAAAAGAAGAGAGAAAGATTGTAATAAATGATTTGTACCTGCCAAACACATGACACAATTATGGTAAATCATGTGTTTTTGACTTTTTGCAAAAATTGCTGCAATATTAAGCAGATTGTAGTTTGAATTTGCACTTTGCATTCAAGCCTTTTATGTGAAGAAGTATTCTGGGAGGAAACCAAAGGGACACAACAGATAAAAGGCTGCAATGATAAATCGGTGGATCCGGTTAATCATCTCCAGAACAGAAGGAACAGAAAGAAAAAAAGGAGGAAAGAGACGTCCACAGCAGAACAATGCAGCTTTATAAAAGATGATAAAGCTCGGGCGTTTTTTTTGCTCACCGTTTTAACTAATTAGTCAGCGGCAGGTCAAAGGTTAACCAGTGAACCCTTTCACACCCTACAGCCTCCACACTCTCACACAGAGGAAACGCTACTGCCGGCATAATTCACCTTCCTCCTTCCCCTCCTTCCCTTTTGGCTCTTTTGAAGGTTCTTTCAAGCATCTTCTACCTCCTGCTCTCTTTTCTCCTTTGTCGCATCAAATCATTTACTTTGTGGGACTGCTGCTCTGCTGACTGCCTCACCTTTCTCTGCCCCCTCAAACACCCACACAAACACACTATAGGCTTTAAATACAATGGAGGTGAGGATTCTCAGTGAAGCCGGACCTCCTGCTCCTCCTCCTCCATCTCAGAGGGAAACTTGGCACAGTTATGGTTTGAGGTTACATAGCTGGACGTGTGTGTCTGAGTGTGCGGCATGTTTGTTCACAGTGTGTGCGTTTGTCAGCAGTTAATCGGCCAATCGGCTGGTCGAACACCTTCGCATGTGCAGCAACATGCACTCACACGGCAACAGCTCCATCTCTAATCCTCTGGTGGGTTTTAAAGGGCTCTTTGTTCTAAACCACTGAAGGCTATTCATGTACTGTATGTGTGCATGTGGTTTAATGAGCCACAACTCTGCTCGTGTCACCCATTTCACAAAGAGGTCCGTCTGAAAGGACAGACGGAACAAGAACGGCTGATGTGACTGAGAAAGTGGTGAAGGTGTACATAGGCGTGATGGAGATACAGAGAATGAGGCCTATATCATTGACCTCTATTTATTTTTTTTAAAAACAGAAGTAAAATTGAAAAAGCCATGATAAAAAATGTGGTTCTTAGTCAATAACCCTCTGAATCCCAAACAGTTTCTGGGTGTTTTTCTTTGCTGTCGTTACATTTTTACTCACTTTTTAATTCCATATGAAGCCCTGCACCTCTATGGAGAAACAACACAACTATGGCTAGAAGTGAGAAACGTTGAAAGTTGAATTTCTTTGATTCTTTGATTTTTCCAAATGGCTAAAGGTGTTACCAATACTGAAGAAACAGTGAAAACAGTAAACACAGTCTGCATTTCAGACTGGCTCAGATATGGCTTTCATATTGGCTGAGTCAATAATGGCCTCTCTGTTGCACCAAGGAATGCACAATTTTAGTTTTTTTTTTTTTTTTCAGCATCGGTTTAATGCCTGTAGAATATGGACATTTGATGAAATACCATGATGTTAGGCTTAGATTTGGTTACATTTCCTAACGGAACGACATGTCACAGTTTCTGTAAAACCATTGGTGACTTTTGGGGTTTAGAGGGTTAAACATCAAAATCTATCTTCTAAAATATAAAAGAAATGTAAAGCATGAACATTAAAATATAAAAAAGAGAATAGAAAAGATCAAGACCAAAGACAAATAACATGATCTTTTAGGCACAAGTGTGAAGTCACAATGAAGAGACAAACACAAATGTTAGTGAAGGAGTTCCACAGGGTTCTGTGCTCGGTCTCATAGTTTTCCCCTGATACATGCTACCATTAGACATTATTGTCAGAAAATATTGTTAGGGAGCCAGAACCTCCGTGTATTAGACTCCACTGCTGTGGAACCAGCTCCTTTGGGTTCAGGAGTTGGGTTCTAGTTTTATAAATAGGCTTTAACCATTTAGTTTTAATAAAGCTTGTAGTTAGTTTTAGTTATTTTTTCCTCCTCCCTGTCGTTAAAGGGCAACGTATTGGATTTCTATCAATAATATTGTCAAGTCTGGACTTTAAGTGCTCATACAAGACATATTTCGTGATTTATATTAATAAAATGAATTGCATTAACAAATTAAATTAGTACATTAATTAGCCTCAGAACTATTCTGATAATCGAGACACATGGTTATTCATTATCTGAGTCTGTGGCTGACCACCAGATTTCAGCAACATTTGTAACCTGATCAGGAGACAGATGTTTCACTGGTCTGTCTGGGAGGGGAAGCATACATCAGAGAAAGGGAGGGATACTGGAGCTGGTTAGATGTACAACATAGTGTTTCCAGTGTAAATAGAGTAAGACTGTACTGGTTAGAAACTGACCAGTTGTATAATCACAACAAAGACAATCTCGTTAGCTCACCATTCATTGCAGAGCCCCGGAGCAAAAGGCCCTTGACAATTAATCATGCTAATTATAGTGTCCGCATTGCCTTCACCTAATGGGCCAGACTCCTCAAAGCCTGGTGTTAGGATCAGAGAGATAATGTACCATCCAGTCTCTTAGCGTACAGTAAATCTTTTTCCAGCCATCCCTGGAGAGCCAGCTTACTGTAACCCGACTCTCAGATGGACAGATGTGTCTGTGGGTCAATAACCTGCCGCGGCGATAAGACGAGGAGGGACCAGATGGAAGTCTGTTGATGTGAGGGAAGGCGAAAAGGAAAATAAAAATGCACTCTAAAAAGTAATTCAAGGGACCCATTTCCACAACTAATGAAGTTAATGGCTGCAAGATAACAACGATCAGATTTGCTGATTTAGATAAACCTTTAACGTTGCTCACTTTATTTTGGTGGGTTTACTTGTTGTAAATTGCATCAAGATATGCTTTGTGTAATTCAAACTCTGATTTCTTTATTTAAAACTAAAATCAAGTTAAGATAACTGAATGAAATTATCTTGATAATGGGATTTTTTTTTACCCACTTCATGTTCAGGATCTCAAGTCCTCTGCTCTATCTTAATACATCTTTACAATATCAAATGACTAAAACTGGTCCCTAAAATACCTTTAATTGTAGAGCAGATCTAATCCCTTTAACTTAATGTAGTTAAACCTAATCTCATTAGATACCGTCATAACTCAAACAGATTGAGTGCTGCCACATGCCCAAGTTCTTCCATTAAGCCCAAATGCAGGCAACAAAAAGTAAAAGTGGAAAATCAAGCACTAGTTTACTCTTGTCTTTTTATTATTTCTTGAATTCCTCTCGCTGATAAAGACGAAGTACTGAACAACAACAACAACAGCACAAGTATGTTTTTCCCACAGAAATACTTAAAATAGTTGCTGTGCGCATGTAGGAGGTACATATGAGCATTTTACTATTATCCACATGCATTTTTATAACATAAACGCAAATTGCAGGCGTGCATCGCGTTCCGGCAGAACACAAAGGCTGTCACAACCACGACAGCGTTGGACGCGAGGGAGGCGCTGTGTGAAGAATGTACAGCGTCGAACAAAAAGACAGAAAGTCCAAGTTTAGCGTGGTTTAGCTCACAGTGTACGAGCACATGGTGGTATAAATACACAGCACTGGCATCTGTCAGCATCTGTATATTCAAGAAAGAGCAAGAAACTTATATAATATTCCTGCAGTGTGTATAGTGTGCTAAAGCAGGACATACGTTGTGCATTTTTGACCAAAAAAAGTGATGAAGATCCTTTTTCTCCCCCCTAAAAATAACCCATTAAGTTGTTGTGTTTTGTTAAGCTGACATTGTGTCTCTGTGTGTGTCTTTCAGTCCGACTGTGTGAACTACGTGAAGATTGTGCACCACTACAACCGCACACACCTGTACGCCTGTGGAACCGGGGCCTTCCACCCGACCTGTGCCTTCGTGGAAGTGGGCCACAGGATGGAGGTGAGGAATAAACACCACAAAACCGACTCACAACTTACTCAGATGCAACACAACACAGTCGAACAAATAATGATGCACATTTAAAGGCAGTCTTTTAGCATCACAGCTTATTTTGTTCCACACTGCCCGTCTTTGTTCTCACCTTCTCAGTAAAAAAAAAAAAAGGTTTTTCAAAACTGCCTGATGTTATGAGCCTCAGTCCTCTGCCAACCAAATTACCCTCTGTTCATTACCACTGAGAACATTACTGCTAGAGAGAAGCTGAAAACACAAGGTTTTATGTGTGCAAAGCGACCAATGATGACATATGATATTCGGCAGTTACTCACGCTTGGCAACTTAAGCGTGACGAAAGTGACTCAAGCCAAGTTTAACTTTGGACCGAAGCTGCGGTAAAAGTAAATTTGAAGGTAAATCGTGGAAAGGAGTGAAGAGAAATCCATCGTGTTCCCGCTTTCAAATTAGCTGTGAGTTTCTTGTGCTGCTCAGACCTGGAATATTAACCCTAAAATGACTGGATGTTTGAATGTGATCACACCTTAAATCTATTTCTTCTTGTTGTTGCTCTCTTTCAGGACCATGTGTTCAGGATCGACCCCTCTAAGGTGGAGGACGGCAAAGGGAAGAGTCCGTATGATCCTCGACATAACGCTGCGTCTGTACTCGTCGGTAACTGAACCCGTACACATTAATATGTATTTAGGTTTTTACTAGAAATGTGCTCATTATGTGCAAATATGTTGTTTTTGTGTTCACTTCACGCCTCTATTGAAGCTGATTTTTTAAACTCCCATTAGCCAATCAATAAACTATTGATTGTCTGCGTCTCCCAGGTGATGAGCTCTATGCAGGTGTGGCCACAGACCTGATGGGACGAGACTTCACCATCTTCAGAAGCCTCGGAAAACGTCCCTCCATCCGCACTGAACAGCACGACTCCCGCTGGCTCAATGGTGTGTGATTGTGTTGGATTTTTTTAAAAAGAGGTTTAGGAATAATGCTGTTATGGCTAAACGCTGTTCTTGTCTGATTCCGTCAACCAGAACCAAAGTTTGTTGGTTCCTTTTGGGTCCCTGAGAGCGAGAACCCCGATGATGACAAGGTGTTTTTCTTCTTCCGGGAGACGGCGGTGGAGGCTCAGGGTTTAGGAAAGTCCACCTACTCCCGAATCGGACAGCTGTGCAGGGTGAGAAACTGTTTCATCTGCAAGTTCAGTGATCGAAATAAACCAGGTTTGGAGAGAAAATACTGGTTTGCTATTTGGTAATTCTGTAAAAAAATAAAAAATAAAAAAAATAAAACAAAAAATTAGTTTAACCCCCTGAATGCCAAACAATATCTTGGTGTTTTTTTTTTGCTTGTGTCATGTTTTCACTCACTGAGTTTATCTCCATTTCTCACTGCAAAATGAAGTCGTGCACCTCAGTGGAAACAACACAACCATGACTAGAAGTAGACAGAACTCAGAAATGTCTTTTGTTCAGTATGACAGTTTTAATTTTGTAAATTAGCAACAAAAAAGTGGAACTTTCTTTAATAGGTAAACATAGATTTTTTTAAATGTAACTTTAATAAAAATCTATATTTGCAACATTTTCCCAAGTGACCACAAATGTTAACATAGTGGAGAAAAGTGTTCACTATAGATGTTTTATACGTTCCACGTTGTGTGAACACAGCCTGCAGTTCAGCCGAGAAGTCTCTGAATTTTTGTCACATGGCTGATGATGGCAGCAAAGTCAGTAATAGTTTCCTGTTTGTAAAAAAAATAAAAATAATAATTCAGCGCTCTTTGGTACAGTGTGGTTCAAAAAATGTTTTTTTGTTTTTTTTTAAATGATATGAAGGATGAAGTGATTTTTCATTTAAATTTTAAGTTTAGATTTGATGTTTTTTTTTCTGATTGAACTCTATGTAAGTTATGATTAGCTCAAAGGACTATTGGAAAGTTTACAATCTAATAATTCTTCCTTGTCCTACAGTTTTCTTGTCGTTTTTGAGAGATGGCATGCCTTTCGGGGTTTTAGAGGGTTAAACAAGTAATATGATGACATCCTGTGGTCACTGTGATCTTCCTTCACACTTAAATGTAAATTAAAGATCCGATTAAGTGACTCCTGGCTTTTTTCTCTTGCATCAGAATGATATGGGTGGTCAGCGAAGTCTGGTCAACAAGTGGACGACGTTCCTCAAGACCCGTCTGATCTGCTCGGTGCCAGGAGCAGACGGCAGCGACACCTACTTCGACGAGCTGCGTAAGTTCACTGCAGACGCATTGAGAAGCTCAGATGCTGTCTGAGCTCATTTGTGACTTAGATCACACCAGGTAGAAGTCATGATGTAACAGCAGTGATGTTTGAAGTGCAGGAAGTTCAGTGTTCACCTCAGAAGACGTCCTGCTGCTCTGGGAACTTTCTTCTACTCAGACAATAAAGTGATTCAGCTTTCTCATTTCCTGTCCCTATTTCCGGCGCAGTTATTCCAAAACACTCCGCAGTATGATTTAGTCGTCACATTGTTCAGAAGACAGAGAAATCTAAACAAAAAAGTTGAAAATTGGGCTGATTTTTCCAACCTTCCTTTTGGATTTTCACCCAGAAAAAACATTCTGTGGGCGCGAATGGAGAGCAAGTCGAGGAAAGCATAATAAATTAACCAGGACTTCTGACCTCAATTGTAGATTACCATTCAGTCCCACATTCCTGAAAACTTGGAGAAAGCATGAGCGAGAGATTAATTCCTAATAGATTCTGGCCTGATCCGAAGTCGGTGTTTTTGCTGCGGGTTCAGAGTAAGTCGTAGGCTTTTCTCCGGTGAGTCTTTAAATGACGAAAAGGGATAATGTGTTTTCATTAGATGGGATCCAGAAGTGAGGATAACTTTATAAAGCACGGGTTGTGGCTAGAAGGAATATTTTATGATAAAGGAGATGTAATTTCACTGTGGACTCACGGGGATTGTTCCACAAACGTCTGGAGCCAGTTCGGTCGAGCACTTCTATGGATAAACATTTCAAATAAGACATAGGTTTGTGTATGATTTTGTAAAATATGACTTTATGCAGTAAAAAACACTCGTGTCCCTGCTGTAACAAGGTTTGGTGTGTCCATCCAGTGTGCTAATTGTCATAAGAGTCTGAGTTTATAAAGAATTATTGTCATTTTTTAGCTTTTCAAAACCCAAAAGCACACTACAAACTGTGTTAACCTAACCGAGCATGAAGGCAGAACATTACATTAGCTACTGTAACTGCATTTTATGAGGCTACAGTTTTATAAAAAGAAAACCTGTTCACCTTCTGCTGCATTTATGTACAAGACAGAAGCAGGTTTTGGACGTTACTTCATCAGAGTGCAGATTAACATTAGTGGTTCTGTCTTTTTCTGCTGGATTTGGGAGGTTTTCACTTGTACGGGATACAAAAGACAGTAACACTATCACCAAACACGTTGATTTCTCTAAAAGCAGACATACAGCTTGAAATATGAACAATAAAGCATCACTCTAGATTGCATATAAGCTAGATTGACATGTCTGATTTTAAATTTTGCAGTATCACACATTAAACAGGACTAACTGCACATTTCAAAAGCCCCTCATCTTTAAAAATGAGTCAGCTGCACGTAAGGAACAGTCAGCCGGAGATGGAGATCTCATCCAATTTCTGGAATTAGTGTTAATTTAATCAGATAATTACACCTGATCCAATTCCCTGACCAGTTAATGTTGTTTCAGCAATCAAAAACTGCTGCTTTGCTGTTTATGAAAGAGGTTTCAGAGATGAGGAATTACTCTGAGATATCATCAGTGCATTATTAAAAGAATTCACAGCTTCCTTATGTAACTTGCGGTCACGCGGTTTTGCACGGCAGCCGTACGAGCTCTGGAGATGTTTCTAGAAGCTCCCTCTGACCGTATCTGCGGGCTATAACATGATCCGTCTTCGTGCTTATCTCGTGACACGGTTAAGGGTAAACTAAGAGGACAGATTTGTCCAGATTCCAACCCAACCTGAGGCTACATCTGCCCATCACATTCCCATATATCAACAGCGAGTCTCTTATCTTGACCGTGAGTTTTCTGACCGCACCTGAGGCCAAACAGATAGAGAGGACCTCCCTTTAATTTAAACCAATTGCTCTGCTGCATTGCATTCACATTTAACAGGTCATACGAGCAGAAGCGTTTGTCAAACAGTGTTTTCTTCATTGTTGCTTGAGACACGTACATATTGCATACGGCAAAGCTCAACCTGACAGGCGGAACAAAACACCGTCACGGGACTAAATTTTGTTAAAACTGATTTTACAAACTGCTGCAGCTCCATGTCAGTTATCAGTGAGAAGCCTCTGTAAAGCACTTAGACATGGCTTTAGGTCTTGTTTATCCTTCTGTCGACCTCTGACCTCCGCCCTAACACCGGCTGACCTCGGTGTGTGTGTGTCCGTCCTCAGGCGACGTGTTCCTGCTGCAGACCAGGGACAGAAAGAATCCTCTGGTCTACACCGTCTTCTCCACTTCCAGGTCAGAGTCTGTTCGCATTATGTGTGTGTGTCCGTGCGCATGGTTGTGTGTTTATTGTATCTAACTCAGCTCCGCCTTGTCCCCAGCAGCAGTGTATTTAAAGGCTCAGCTGTGTGTCTCTACTCCATGAATGACATCCGGAGGGCCTTCCTGGGGCCCTTTGCTCACAAAGAGGGGCCCAACTACCAGTGGGTCCCCTTCCAGGGAAAAGTACCGTATCCCCGCCCCGGAATGGTATGTCGGCCACCATAAAGGCCATCAATAGGGCCACAGTGTCAGAGAATCATATAATCAAGGGAGTGCACTATACTTTTTACAGCTCTAAAGTACTTTTATTTGGGTTTTTACCTTTTTTTTATGACCACATTTCAGAGAGAAATGTTCTTATTACTCATATACGAGTACTTTAGCCTTCCGCTACATTGCATTCATCTAACAGGGTGCACTTGTTGCACTGAGTTCTGGTTTTAAATACAGAATGTATGATCATCTCATGCAGTAGCAGTAATAGTAATAGTAGTAGTAGCTGAAGTAGTCGTAGTAGCAGTAGTAGTAGTTGCAGCAGCAGTTTAAGTATTAGTAATAGCAATAGTAGTTGTAGTTGCAGTTGTAGTAGTAGCAGTTGCATTAGTAGTAGCAGTAGAGGCAGTATAAATATTAGTAATAGCAGCAGCAGTAGTAGTAGTAGTAGTAGTTGCATTCATAGTAGTAGCAGCAGCAGCGGTATAAGTATTAGTAATACCAGTAGTTGCAGTAGTAGCAGTTGTATAAGTAGTAGCAGCAGCAGCCGTAGTAGTAGTAGCAGTTGCATTCATAGTAGTAGTAGCAGCAGCAGTATAAGTATTAGTAATAGCAGTAGCATTAGTAGTAGTAGTAGCAGCAGTAGAGGCAGTATAAATATTAGTAATAGCAGTAGTAGTAGTAGTAGTAGTAGTAGTAGCAGCAGCAGCAGCCATAGTAGTAGCAGTTGCATTCATAGTAGTAGTAGCAGCAGCAGTAGTCATAGTAGCAGTTGCATTTGTAGTAGTAGTAGCCGTCGTAATAGTAGTAGCAGCAGTATAAGTATTAGTAATAGCAGTAGTAGAAGTTGCATTCGTAGTAGTAGTAGTTGTAACATCAGTATTAGTAATAGCAGCAGTAGTAGTTACAGTAGTATTAGTACCATCAGTAGTACAAAGTCTCTGGATTTCTGTGACTGTTGGTTACGGTTGAATCACTGATGGTTTCACAGTTACACTGAGGAGCAAAGACGTTTTGTTTTTCCATAGACTGTGGTCGGAGCACACGGTTTATTTTTAGCAAATTTTTTAAATCAGACATGTAGAATTAATTGATTTTGATGAGTTACACATTTAAGCTTCAATTCGATTAGGTTTGCAGATGAAACAAGTTTCCGGCTGATTAGCAGCATTGTTTGAAAGGCATTTAAAAAAAAAAAAAATACCACAAACTTGCCGGCGGGTTTTAAAGTTCAGAGGAAAGTTCAGTAGAAGTACAGAGAAATGAAAACATTCTTAACTCGTGACTGGAAAATCTTCACTTAATCAAATTAGTGAGGCCAGATCATAACTTGTCATGAACACTGCGGCTTTGCTACAATATTTACAAATCTTAAGTTTTATATTCACGTACTTTTGGTTCAGCACTGAACTGTAAAGATCTAATCCATGCATTTATCTCATGTAATATCCTGTGATATCGGCCTTTCAGGCACAACAACACAGTGCTCAACATTAAATCTTATTTTCTTCCAAAACCTCTCCACTATCCTCCCGATCAATATGTGCTTATGATGCCTCTTACGTTCCGCTAAGCGCACAAGCGACGCGTCAGCAGGATTTGTTATGCAGAGCTTCAGCTGTTACTGCCACAGCAGAACAATCCCCATTGTATGACCGCAGAATAGTAATTGTATTCGGCCTACAGTAAACCCTCCGTCACGCCATCGTCACCTCACCGGCTTGCAAAATTAGCAGAGCAAATCGAGTTTTAAAAACAGCCGTCATGCTTACAAGTAAAATTATGGATGTAAAACTGCATGGAGAGCAGATTTAAACTTCATAAGCACACTGTAGGATTAAAAAACATCAAAATGCTGCAAATGATAGCTTTTTAAAGTAGAGATACTTCATGACACTAACGTACATTTTAGTATTCTGCAAATCCAAGACTGGAATTTTAATTAGAGGGAGAAGCCGGACTCTGACCTGGACTAAATCGCTCTCGAGTCCCTGAGACCCATCACACTGTAATCAGCTCTCTGCCGGGCTGTGGCTTTGTAGATTCAGGCCAGCTGATAAAGTGATGAGTCAGACATTTTGTTTCAGTTTACATACGCAAAGAAAAAGCAGATTTACTCTTAAAGTTTTTATGGGGCAAATGAGTCCAAACATGGTAAAGAATCTCTGGGGAAAGCTACTAAGAGTCAGTAGGACTCTGTAGGGCTATAAAACCCTATAATAATCCAGCTAATTGACTTCCACTGTGAAATATAAGCAGCTAAATGATTAAGTTCATAAAAGCCCAAGACAAAAATGGTTTCAGTGTGAGTTTGATCAGCGTTTACAGAGTTTTAAATTCATTAGTGTTCCCGTTTAGGTTCAGCAAATTGGAATCAAAAGCACAACTTTAATAAAACTTTATTGTCGTCCGTTAGTGTCCCAGCAAGACATTCGGCAGCTTTGAATCCACCAAGGGTTTCCCAGACGACGTGATCCAGTTTGCACGTCACCACCCTCTGATGTACAACCCGGTTTACCCGATGAGCCGGCGACCCGTCTTCGTCAGAACCAACGTGGACTACAGCTTCACTCAGATCGCTGTGGACAGAGTCAGCGCTGCCGACGGACAGTACGACGTCATGTTCATTGGCACAGGTGAGCGCATTCTCCTAACTTCCTCTGCGTTTAACCATTAAAATAATGGAATTGCATATTAAAAAGGTTTTGTTATTTCAGACAAAGGGACAGTACTCAAGGTGATCAACGTCCCCAAGGAGAGCTGGAACAACATGGAGGAACTTTTACTGGAAGAGCTGGAGGTCTTCAAAGTAAGAACACCACAATAATACGACTTCTTTCACTGAATATCTGTCAGAATAGATGTTGTTGACCTTTAATGTAAATGTAATAATTGCAACGTGGCCAGAAACACCCTTGGTACTCTTATACACCAATGAAAAGTTTGACGTTAAAGCTCTTTAATCCATAGAATCTGTGCAAAGAGCTGAGGTCTTGTTGATTCTAGAAAGACCACCTGGACAAAGTTAGAAGGTTGATAAGTGGATTATAATTGTACGTTGAGCAGAGCAGACTATTGACTATCAGAGGTGATGTTAACCACACTGAACATGAACAAAAGACAGTTGTTCTCTCTTTACTTTGACCCTGATTCGCCCAGTTTGGTCAAAGTAAAGGCTGTCGGATCGTCTCCCAGCGACCCATGTTCCTGGACTTGGCCTTGAGAACAAAAATTCAACACAAGGATCCTCTGAAAAGAGAAAAAATAAAACTACAAGTTGACCTTGTAAAAATGCTTGTCTTGAGTGGACGGGCCATAATAATTATTCTTTTGGCCACATCTGTATATAGTAAGTCAATTAATTCTTGTTTCTCTTCTGCTCCTCAGGATGCCTCATCCATCATCAACATGCAGATTTCCTCAAAACGGGTATGTTTGTTTGATACTTAAAAATAAGCCTCGATAGTCCATGTTTTAATCAGGGCATTTAAAAAAAAGACTTCCCTGCAGCATGAGGGTATCTTCTTACCTTTACCCTCATTTCCATTAAAACAGTAATTTTGTCATAATCCCAGATCTGGATCGCAACTGAAACTGATCTGCACATAAGTATTCTAAGATTCCCAAACAGAAAACGTATTGTAGGTGGCTGCACTAAATCAAAATGGTTATACCGCAGATGCAAAGTCACCTGGAGGCATCATAAATTGCGAATACTGTCAAAGCCCGGTGGTTAGATTTATGGCACAAAGTTGTTTTTAACTCTGACATGGGCACATTCCTGAGACCCTCTTCTAAAACATTTCTTTTTACTTTCTGTATTTTCACAGCAACAGCTGTACGTCGGCTCCAACAACGGCATCGCCCAGGTTCCCCTCCACCGCTGCAGTGTGTATGGGAAGGCCTGCGCCGAGTGCTGCCTGGCCAGGGACCCGTACTGCGCCTGGGACGGGACATCCTGCACTCGCTACCTGCCAAACACAAAGAGGTCTGCGACGCAAATAAAACAGCACTTTTTACTGAGAAACATGACGAAAACCTTGTCTGCTAATGCAATCGAATACCCCAAATGTTCCTATTCCTGCACTAAATCGTAAAACTCTTTACAGGCGTTTCCGTCGCCAGGATGTAAGGAACGGAGACCCCAACACCCTTTGCTCTGGAGGTAAAAATGGCATTACAATATCTGCAAAAGAGATTAAAAAACTGCAGCGTGTAAATGTGTGAGGGAAACTATTGTTAGCCCTGGTGCAAGCTCTGTTGGCTGTAATTGCTTTTGTAGGCTGGCTGCTGCATATGTATAATCAAATAATAACAAAGCCTCAGTCTGATCCAGCCGTGAGACTCCCAGAGACTCTTGGCATCTGATATCTCACTGTCCCCTTATCAAGAAATCCTAAATACCCCCCCTCCCTCACCCTTGCTGACCTCCATCTCTCCCAGACCACAATACCGGCATTCTGCTGCTATCTGTCTCTCTGCCACATAACTGAATCAGGCCAATCGCTCAAACTGAAGGAGCTCCTGGGTAATACGATTACATCATGTGGCATGTGAGCCGGGTTGCGTAAAACTTGCGAAGGTCAAAGTAATTGTCTGTGATGAGACTGGCGCTGCCCCAAAGTGCTGATCAGGGGCCTATTTGGCAGCGAGGGCACCATTGTTTCAACAGTAATCTGTGCAGTTCTGGTAGTTAAAGAAGAAAATCAGCCAAACTTAAGAGTATAAATAGGGGGGGAAGCTGATTTTTCTAAACTATAAATGTGATTAAAAGTAACAAAAGACCAAGACATTAAGAGTTGGGGACAATTACTG